ATGGTATAAGAGAATGTACCTGTCTCGTCGTTTGTTAAAAAAAAGCTCCAGAGAACGCCTTGTAGGAATTGGAAGATCTGAAAGAAGGCAAAAAAATTGATTCTGTAAATTATAATTCCTAGCCAAAAATAATTTTTCCAACTACCTTTTTAAGAATAGATGAAATCAACTAATAGTAGCTTATAAGTTGTAACGCTATCAGAACTTGCATATTATCTTCAATAAATTTAGAGTAAGTCATAAAAATAATTTCTCAAAATTCTGTTCAATCTATACGAATTACTTAAAATCGCAGTGTGGAAAATCGATAATTACTTTGTTGTAACTTGCAAACTGGTGAAGATTTCTGGGAATTTTTTGATGCATCAAGCTCTTGTACATTTTTCACAACAGGAGCTGATGCAGAAGTTTCACCTGCCAGAAGCATGATAGCCTTTGCCTGTTGAGCCAAAAAAATTCAACTCATTTAGTTAAATATAATCAAGAACACTAAATTGAATAATTAAACATAGAAAGATGGCATTTATTTGTTTATTAATTTTCAATTAATCTTTAATCTGTGGTACCTTATCAACAGAAACATTGTCATACACATTGATAACTCCATCATAGAAAATTGTTAGCTGATCTCCTTTAGATTTGTCATTTGATAGAGCTGCAAGCGCATCATCACCCCTATTTTTTTTTAAATCAAGATTCATGGAAAAGTTAGACGAAAAAATCTAACAGTACCCTGTTTGGTTCAACTAAAAATGTTGATTAAATTTGTACATTCAGAGGATCCACAATTTAACAACCACACATTTTATCTACTTTTATCAAAATTTACCAAAAATCTGATTTTTATCTAAACCAAACAGGGTATATTGAGCGCGTGTGCAAGCACGTACTTGATCATCCTGGGAAGCAGTTGTTGCTCCAGCAAGGTTGGATATCGAAAACTACCTCCAAATTTTGATGGGATTAAAGGGCGAAAGCCGGGAGGAGCCTTTCTGGTTGCTCCTCTTCTGGTCTTAATAGTTGGTTTTTTAATACCACGTTGAATTTTTCTAAGATGGCATGTTTGAAATGAGTCCTTGGATTCGGCCATGTTTTCAGACGAATTTTCATTCTTTGTCGCAAGTTCCCTTGCAGCTGTTGAGCTGCAAGACATTTTGCCTGCAGACAATAAAAAATAATGCTAAAATCATACTGTAATTCGACTACGAACTATTTTCCATTGAGAATCTAAGTAAAAACTGTTGTAAATACGTAAATTATGTACAAAAGAATACGCGAATATCATCCGGTTTCATGTATGGAGATTTAAAAAATAAAAATAAAGGATGAACAGAATTTTAAGACTGAGAGAATACCTCAGAAAAGTGATAATCACTTGTTCAGAGCCAAGCTGAGAATGCAGCCTGGGATAAAATATTGGAGACACACAGAAATTGAAAATAACGAGATTACTTTGGGGAATCCGAAATATATCCTAATTTTTAATGTTGGACATGTTTTTCTTATGAATAATTGTCGTGTCTTGTGTATGAAATCCAAGCAAGCAGGCTTCAAGTACTAGGAAATATGTATTTGTCTCACCTGTCCATTTTTGGCACTACCACAGTACCAAAGTGTAAATCAGATCACGTCACCCGACTCTATATTTTGCCTTTCAAGAAAATTATTGCAAGGCACTAAGATATGGCAGCCAAGAAACAATAAAGTTGAAAGTGCAGGTTAACCAGAACTCCTTATTAGGCTCATTTTATCAAAGCACGAAGTCATTAACTCCCTGTTTGAGCCCCATTCTTTGAAATTCATTTTTTCTCAAACTCATTTTCAACCACGTCTTCTCCTGATAAAACAATTTGCAAGTAAACCAAAAAAATTTCATACCTTTTAGCCATTCATTTTCCGAAAAAATTACTATTACAAAACTCGAGTCTAAATATGCAAAAAGTTGAGCCTATCGGCTACACATTTCGACTACAAGAACATCCTTCCCGCCGTTTTTACTCTTTGGCTACTTCGAAGCTGTCCTTCAATCCTTTTTGATCATGTCAACTGACCCGGCCCAAATTTAATTATTTACCGGTGAACCAGCCCACTTGAATTATGGGCCGGTTTACCAATAATTTTTACCAGGCCGGTTCCTAGCGGGCCATGTCCGGCCCACCTAGTTTGACACCACTAGTTATATCACACGTTGAATAAAAATAAATTAATATACAATACATAAGGAATTAGACTACTATACTTAAAAATGTTGATCTTTAATAATCGAACTCCAAATCTTAATATGTATTAGAACAAACTCAAATGAAAAATTCGATCTATCTATAGCTTAAAAGATCAATCGAATTTCAAGATTAATGTTCTCAGACGAGTCACCATTTTACTAGTTCATGTTAAACGTATATAATAAAATGATTTGGTCAATACGTTGTCGTTAAGTTTGCCTTTCATCTCAGTTACGTAATTCCTCCTACACATTGATATGAAGATCTCATAAATGCTGTGGAAGATGGTGGACTTTGGGAGGTGGTGAAATAGCAAGGAAATTTTAGGTTCTTGCTTAGTGTGATGGCTATTGAGAAGTTTCTTGTAGGTATATACATCTAATGATTTATTTTATAAGTCAATTTATCAATAACTCTCCCTAGGTGGACTTGACTACCAAGAAATGCACTAACAAGCAAAGCAACGTGTAAAAATTCCTTAGTCTTCTTATCATTCAATCGAATTGGAAATTGCATAGGTAGTTCAATCCTAGATACAAAGCTTTTTCCTTTATCAATTTTTAATATAAACACAAAATTGTTTGCAAGCAAACTTAAAATATACTAGGGCGTTTGATGTAGATTAAAATCAGATTTTAAGTGGATTGTGATAGAAGTTTTTGAAATGTATAGTTGAAAATATGTGGGACCCATGAAAGATGTGGTTGATATTGATTGTTTAACTTTGATTTAGATTAAAATCAGATTAAAATTTGGCCCAATGTGCAATAAGAATGTCCCATCATACTTAGCCCATGTTGGGTATAACTTAAAATGTTGATAAAAATTTAAGTCAAAGTCAATAAGTAATTTTAATCATGCATTTTATAGGATCCACAATTTTTATTAACTTTTATCAAAATTTACTAAAAAATTATTTATAAATACACCAAACAAGGGCTTAAGTGTAGGTTATATTGACAACACATTACTATGGCCTTGTCTGTTTGTGCTACTAATCAGAAAAATCAACGAACACAACTTTTGTTTTGTAAATGTAACAAGAAGACGGATTGGACAGAAGAGCATATTTGCAGAATTTAAAAAGTTGTAAGAAATCGAAGAATACTTGAACATAAGTTTCAAATTATGATACTTACTTAAAATTATAAATTTCATTATTTTTTGAATGGTTGAATTATCTTATTTTTCAAAACTCCAAATCTATAATTTTCTTACACTTCAATTGTTTCAATCCTGATCATAATGGAAGAAGATTATTAGCCACAATTTAAGGTCCTGTCTGTTTGTGCTACTAATCAGAATTTTGGCCGTTGAAAACACTATGCAACCTCAACATTGGACTGAACTCTCTCTTAGTGGGGCCCAAAAGGTTGAAAAAAAGGGGCAAAAATGCTTTTTTTTGGGGGGAAAAAATCGGAACCAGACATGCTTTATAAAAATGCACCATTTTTTAATTACATTGAAAATCATTAATCTTTACTTATTATAAGGTTTATACCTTAGCTTTTTTTCGTTAAATTAATATCCTTAACTTTTCATAAATTAACACATATTTTCGTCCAAAAAATTATTAATGCACTTTAAAATGAGTGTTAAATGTTCGGTTACAATTTCATTTATTTAAAAATACAATGAACAAATAAATCCGTTTGCTCTCTCTTAACAAATTTTTTGGACAAAAGCTGTCATAATTAGCGAATTAATGAGGATAACAATGTGATTAAAAAAGTTAAAAACATAATTGTAACAATGTATACATTAATATGTATACAACGATGTATAAATAGCATATTCGTTAAGTTCATTTTTTACTCGCTTTATTTCTCATATTCATTTTAAATCATGCATATTCACACCGTAAAATATTTTGCACAGAAACTCAAACCTTCTCTCTACTTTTCAATTACACGTTCTTTAAAAATTATTTTAGAGCCTCTTTGTTTCCAATTAAAATCCAATTAAAATTGAAAATATAGTCGTCATTGGGTCTCACTCGTCTAATAAAAGTCCACAATAACGACCAATTTTTCAATTTTAATCCGATTTTAATCTCTATTAAACACGCCTTAATAAATTGTGGTCTTAATATTTATTTTTTTGGATGACCACCTCATTTATTATAATACCCTTAGATTTCTTAATATTTACCATCCGGCCATACGAAAAATTGTATAAAAACAACTTGGACCGCTCGGTATGATTCTGCACATTGAAGCAAATGGGCGTTAGCTTAACTGACCCTCAAGAGTGGCTATGTATAATTGAAGCAAACACGGTTTTGGTAATCTAATTATATAGCAACGAAATTGCTAAACCTATATCACCTTTGACCCACAAAAATGGCAGACCCGATCCAGTCCCGACTCTATATAATCCCCACGAAGACACATTTTCACTTACAAAAACACACTTTCTCATTTCTCATTCAATCTCTGCAGTAATTATGTATACTTTTGATCAACTTTCACCTTCGTGGCAAACTCTTGTCTTGTTCTTGTGTTTTGGTGCATTAATCATGGCTAATCCATGTGCAACCGCATCTGATCACATTGTAGAGGATGCCTACAAGGCCTTAGGAATCTCACCAAATGCAGATGGCTCAATGAATAGAGAAAACAGAATCCCAACAGTAAATGCCACCCCACAAGTTGATGATCCAACACAGCCTCCAATTGCCCTCTCGAAAGACATTCATCTAAACCCTTTAACCAAAACTTTCATACGCCTCTTTCGACCTGTAAATCCTCCACCAAACACTAAGCTTCCACTCATAATCTACTTGCATGGTGGTGATTTCGTGTTGTTTAGCGTGTCGACTATCGTTTTTCATAACTTTTGCAACGACGTTGCTGCTCAAATACCGGCCATTGTTGCCTCCGTTGACTACAGACATGCCCCGGAAAATCGGCTCCCCGCAGCTTACGAAGATGCCATGGATGCTATCTTGTGGGCAAAATATCAAGCACTCGGTGGACATACTACCACTGTTGATCCCTGGATACATGAATATGCTGATTTCTCAAGAGTTTTCCTACTGGGAAGTGCTGCAGGTGGGAATATAGCATACCATGCAGCACTAAATGCATTAGATTTCGATCTTGAACCCATAAAAATTCAAGGGCTCATACTGAATCAGCCATACTTCGGTGGAGTCCAAAGAACCGAATCAGAACTCAGACTCATTGATGATGATTTCGTTCCATTATACGCAAATGATGTCCTCTGGACATTGGCATTGCCAGAAAACGCTAGCAGAGATCATGAGTTCGCAAATCCATTAACTGGGGGGTCTTATCTCGGTAGGGCTTCGAGATTGCCAAGGTGCATGGTGAAGGGCAACAGTGGCGATCCACTTGTTGACAGGGAAAAACAGCTGGTGAAACTGCTTGAATCAAATGGAGTTAGTGTCATTTCACTGTTCGTTGATGGAGGTTATCACAGTGTGGAGCTCTCAAATACAACAGCAGCTCAAGAATTGTACGATGCTGTCAAGGATTTCATCAGTTCTACAGTTGCTACCACAATTCAAGCTTGTGATGCTTTCGAATCCACAAATATTTGTCCTCTTTAATGCTTTTGATCACTCCCATGTATTGATTTCGAATATTCATATGTTCAGTAGCAAGTTTGTACCATAATTCTACAAGATGCATGCATGCATGTTGTATATTATTATTATTATTTGTCCATTACGTACGAATAAAACTTAAAATTATTAGTCAACAATTATTTCTAACCTCACACGTTGGATTCACAATTTTTATCAATTTTATCAAAATTTATTAAAAAATATATACTTTTACCAAAACCTAGGGGTGTAGTAGACATGAAAAAAGGTAGGGTATCGCTATTTTCATTCACTTTTAATTATTATACACATCCACTTCTAAAAATGAAATTTTATTATATTTTAAATCCTATGCAAAATTACTTAAATAGACATAAATTAAATTAAATAAAAATATATAACTCTAAATTCATTTACTAATTTTTATTTTCATTAAATTAACCTAAATTTTTTATATTCTTTTAAAATTTGTGTTTTAATTAGAACTCTAATAGACCAAAAAAAATTACAAGAATATGTTTGAAGTATTCCAATATGACAGAGAATTTAGTAGACAATGAAAGAGACGTTTTTAGATCAAATATATACAAATGTAGCAATATATGAAAATGAATTTGGAAAATTAAGGATTATCTGTTTTGTGGTTTGAATTTTTTTCCTAACGCATTAAGACATTTATGGGTTTTAGTGGCATTCTTGTGATATCGGGCAAGGGCGGAGCTAGAAGAAAAGATTCATGGGGGCAAAAAGTGAAAATTACAAGAAAATATCAGGATTTATATGATTTAACAGATATTTAAGTAGGATGAACAGTAGAAAATCGGTTTCAATCTGGCTTAGTGTGAAATGGACGACACGAGATGAACAGTTAAAATTGAGATCCGCTCTTTTATAGGAAGTAGGATATATACACATCCACTTCTAAAAATGAAATTTTATTATATTTTAAATCCTATGCAAAATTACTTAAATAGACATAAATTAAATTAAATTAAAATATATAACTCTAAATTCATTTACTAATTTTTTTTTCATTAAATTAACCTAAATTTTTTATATTCTTTTAAAATTTGTGTTTTAATTAGAACTCTAATAGACCAAAAAACATTACAAGAATATGTTTGAAGTATTCCAATATGACAGAGAATTTAGTAGACAATGAAAGAGACGTTTTTAGATCAAATATATACAAATGTAGCAATATATAAAAATGAATTTGGAAAATTAAGGATTATCTGTTTTGAGGTTTGAATTTTTTTCCTAACGCATTCAGACATTTATGGGTTTTAGTGGCATTCGTGTGATATCGGGCAAGGGCGGAGCTAGAAGAAAAGATTCATGGGGGGCAAAAAGTGAAAATTACAAGAATTTTTTGAAAATTTTGAAAAATTATTGGGCAAACTTTGAAATTCTAAATTAAGTGTGGGGGCAGCTAACCCCACTACGCCGACACTAAACCTGCCCCTGAATTTGGGTGCTCTGATTTTCTTTTCTTGATTTTACGATTATCTTCTTGGAATGGTTGTACGAGTTTCTTTATTTACATTTATTTTGATTTTTTTGCGTTTTATTTTGATTGTACAATAAAAATTTTAAGAAACACTGTTAACATGATTAAGTGAATAATATATGTTAATTTAATATTCAATCAGTTCAACTTTGTTCTTATTTCGTTCATTTGGTTTAAAAGAGTTTATGGTTTTGTGTGGATTTATAATGTTACGGATGTATTTAAAGTGAAATAAATCTATAAAATTTATGTAGATGTATAGTATTTAAATGAATTAATTCAATAAGAATAATATTGAAATATGACATGAATGCAAATAGTATTTTTTAAAAATTTTAATAGAGATGAACTTAGAGTGGAATAGATATGTTAAAAATGTGGATGGAAATAGTGGTACCCAAAAGCTATTTGATTGGTCTTCGCCTAACAAAATCATTAACTGATGTAGAAAAAATAAGATTAATTATATTTAATTTGGAAAGATTTTTACGGGATTCTTTGAAATTATTGACTTTTTGCAAAATTCATTTGACTTTCATAAATTCCAGAGAATTTCGAAAGACTTTCATAACTTCAATAGATTTTCATAAACTTCGATAGACTCTTTTTTTTTTTCATTTTAAGTGATGTACAATTTCTTTAAACAAAAATCTTGCATATGATCAACCAAAGTATCACACACTTTAGACTCAAAGCAGTGAAACAATTGAAGCCATATCAAACAACTTAATGAGAAAAAAAAAAGCACTTATTCTCATCAAAATATCCCTTTCGCTTCTGAAACATAAGGGCTATGCATAGAGAAAAATGATAGATGTACATCAAGGTCTACATCCCCTCACATGGAGGGGTCCACTCGAATAAAATATTTGAGTGGGCCCCTTACCTATGTGAGGGGGGTGTACACCGTGATGTACAACCCGATGTACATCTAGCATTGCTCTTAGCAGAATTTATGTGGCATGTAATCATTACTTGCAAAATAATTTCTTATGGACCCATATTCTTGTCAATTTTCTCTGCTACCCAATGCAATAATTTAGCTGTCTGCAAAAGGTATTGTGCTGTAACTGGCTTTTAATTTTTTACTTTTTCTAAGGCTCGGCTCG